TATACTTAAATTCATTTGGTGCTTCTGGAAACCCATCCGCAGCAAGCCGAACAATCGACGATAAGTGGTGTCAAAAAAAGATCAAGCTTTAATAAATATTTCCTTTTTCCTTATTTCCTGGCAAATATTCCTTGGCTGTATTGTTCAGTAAAAATCGAGAAGCCTTTGGATGAAAAAAGCGAAAATCTGTAATTTCACAAAATACCACTTATATTTAAGATAAATGTGAAAAAAAATAAGGGCACCTCTTTATTAAGTTTCCCTAAAAACGGAGTCTTCGCATCTGTTCAACAATTAAAATTCGCCATCAAGCAGTTAAATAATGTCTTTCCTTCCTCAGAATCAACTTTTTTTATAACAATTAATATTCATTCATATTTAATATTCATAACGTTCATTCCGATGAACGTATATTAAAATTGGAACAATACAAAGAAGATTAGCATAGCCCCTGCGCAAGGATGACACGCAAATTCGTGAAGCGTTCCAAATTTTTTTTCTAGAGGGATAGGATGGCTCAGTAGGTTGTTGCTCAACTGGGAGCTCCGATGCTGAGGTTCGATTCCCGTATGAGTAAACCTGTGCAAAAATCCGGGTGATGCTGGTGACTCATCTATATTTTTATCGCCAAGGGACTCCCTGGCATATTGCCCAATGCGACAAGCCAATGGAGCGAGTATAATCAGTGAGTTTAATGGTTCTTTAAAAAAAAAAAATTAATATTATGCGGCAAAAATATTACAAAAATTTCTTCAGTTGTCATTAATAAAATTATGGAATATTGTAGCTCCTTAATGCATTTCGCCATATGAATCCCTGATTCATCGACATCTGATTAAATATAATTGGTACTAATTATATCAAAAAACCACACTCTTCCAGTAATATTAATACAGTAATCACCATTCCTCTAAGCCAAATTTCATAGTCTATTGTTTAAACAAGAAAAGCAATCTTAAAAACACTGTGATTGTCGATAACCCAGCACCTCTATCCACAGTTAATTTTCTGGTTTTCTGGTAAAATGGTTTCATCGTAATAATCAGTGGGGCTAGCCAAATTATAAACGAACGATTTTTTAGCTCTATTTTCGGTTATACTCGCTTCGCTGGAAACATATATTAAAACACTTTCGTCAAATTGTCACTTTAGATACAAATCCGCGGCACTATCAGAAATTACTGATAATTTTGCTCTTACCAAAGGTATCTTGATGCCTTGAAATGGTAAAAGGCCAGTTCTTATACTTTTTGCTCTGAGTTAAATTTACAAAATTCGCATAACTACCTAAAAACTTTTAGTATTTCCAAAATTTTCGAGGATCGAGAACTTACTAAAAGGGCATTGACGGCTGAAGGCCATCAAATAATGCTTTGAAAGCCATTGGCCCAAATAATACGCCAGTGGTCCATACCGTCCCTAATGGGCGCTAATGGAAAAAGAAGGAAAACCAGCAAATAACTAATAATTTACTTATTGTTAAAACTGAACAAGCTGATCAAGCAATGCAATTTTTGACAAAATTTGCTTTAAATATTCAACTAATCATTTTCGCATTCATAAAATTTTTTTCTTTTTCAATTTTTCTTTTATCAACAATACACCAAACTATTAAACTACTTCCAGAAAAGGCCCATAGAAAGGAGACATGAACAATCGGTAAGAATGTGGGTTTTGATGACTATTAAGAAAACATAATTTGTAACAAAAAATTCACAATGTATCGCTTAATTTTCTTTAGAAAATAGACATTTTTTTTGCTTTTATCACCTTATTTGCCTTTTTAAATAAAAATTATTAAATTACTAACTGAAAATCCGTTCAAAGTCGGCGGCACCATTCAAAATAAAGGCAAGCTAGACCTCAGAAGAAGTGCTCTATTCGCTTTGTCAAAATGCTAGCTGTAGACACATCCATGGATCCACAAAATAGGACGAAAACCAGTGTTGGAAGAATATAGCCTTGAATGTGATAGCAATTTGAATAGGTGATCATCGAAAATTATTCCGTTTATTTCATAAAGTAAGCAAATGTCAAGATATAAATTGGAATAGAACAATGGGTGTTGCTCAATTTTCAGAATGCAGATGGTGGGCTTCTACCTCCAGCAGGAGCGAATCTTTTAAAAATTAAAATGATGTTGACGAATCACCCACCTATATTTCTATCGTCAAAATTTATCAAACCTGACAATCTAGTGAAGAGAAAGAAATGGTGGTTCATTTTTTTTCAAAATTTCGAGAAGTGGTCAATGAAAGAGAAAGAGATAAGGCTGGAAATCCTATTAAAACTATCGCTTCGGCTGGAAACAGAAATTAAATTAAATTAAAAAATTTTAAATTAAATTAAATTTAATTATGATGGATCATCCAACATCCGGGACATATTGGAACAATTGCGATTGCAAACTGTCAACCCGGGTAATTCAAAATTCTCTATAATTTTGAAGATTAAGACCAATTAAACCTTCGTCTTTGATAGTCTTTGAATAGAACTCTTCAAATGGCCCAGTTTCCTTCACAACCTATCCACAGGGGCTATATCCATTTGTGTCAGATAAGGATCAAACCACGTGACTGCAACAAAACAAGTCTGCCAATTCCCAATAAAACTGATAGGATGCACTGCAACAAATAATGAAAAATTACTAGATATTTATGAGATTTTTGCGTCATTCATTCTACTGCACAGGCTCCTAACAGTGCATTATAGGGGAGGCCAGGACGTGAATTTTGACGAAATTTTCACGTTGAGGAAGATATCGAAACATCGTTATCGGCAACCTAGCCTTACGTGCTTAATCGAGTTTGTTGCTGCTTTTGATTCGATTATTATTTCCGCGCTCTGTCAAATCATGCAATGACGGTTCAGAAGATATTGCGCACTTTATGGTGCAAATCAAATGTGTGTATTGGAAACTGGCAAAAATCCTTTAGAATACAAACGAGTGTGCACTCTCCTTTCTTCTCCTCTACAGTTTTTCACATTGCGCCGGGTTTTGATAACAGCAGTGAAATGGCTTTCAAATCAATGCAAACTTTTTTCGTTCTCCCATATACTGATAAGATCGCAATTTCTATAAATTACTCATAGATTAAAGAAATGGCACGTATTAAAAATATCTCAGATTATCTCCTCTCGTGACTAAGAGCCAGGCGAAAGATAAAATCCCAGTTGGGATAGGTGAAGCTAAAGATGCTTTATTTCGTATGGCAAAGCTCCTTTCATTTCGCAAAATTAATATTATGAATAACGAAAGTTTTCGCAAAATTAATATTATGAATAACGAAAGATCGCATCTACTTGGCTCTATTATATACAGTTCTACTATGTGGTTACTAAACATGATCATGGGAGTGGAGATATCAAGAAGTTATCTTTCTTTGACCGCACTTGTCTAATGCCCACTGCAACTTAAAAAGGCATCTCAACTGTGTCTTTATGATTTGTATTCGTTAGCCTTTCCGTTAAAAAGTATCGTGAGCTGTTGTCTACGGCTCAAACTTGGGTAAACCTTTATTTTAAATAGCGACAATTTAGAACATTATTGATCACAAAAAACAGTAAAAATACCACAAAATAAAGAGAACCGTAAAAGCCATCCTCGGTTGATATTTGTCGTTTATGCTCCACGATTGAAATTGTTTGTCTCGTTTCAATTGGGGATTATATTCTATGACCTTTGCTTCATCGGATTACTGCTATTTCATTTTGCATCCATTCGAATATCCATTTTGGTCGAATACCATAATACTATATGCATTAACAATATCGTCACCAATATCGCTTGCGCTGGTTAGGCTTTTTCGTCGTTCATCATATGAATCAATACACGTCTTACAACTCTCTAAATCCTGTGATAAATGGCGTCAAAAAATGACCATTTAAGACTTGTAGGATTAATCTTGGATAAGCGGTCTAGCAATGCACGAGGAGTGGCTTAAATCACTTTGAACTTGGTTGCTAATGAAACCAGCCAAACCAGCAGTGATACGAGAGCCGTTAGAGGAAGCGACTGAAATTCTTAAAAAACCAAAATTCCTCAAACTTTTTTGCTTACAACACAGCCTAATAATGTGAAACATTTTGCATCCATATTACCGTGATGAAAAAGGGTACCTAAAAGATTCCGTTTTATAGGTTTGTTATGTAGCAGCTGCCACTTTACGTCGATTTTCCTAATCGCTTCAAGCATTGACGATATTAATTAGAAACAATGCCAATATTAATTTTGCTTTTAGCAAAAGCTATCAAACACATCATTTTGGGCTCAAAATCAGCAACAAGGAAATAACTATTCCGCAGCAAATTCTCTTTTTTCCATAAAACTATTATTCATTTCTCACACTTTACCAGTGCAAGAACCAAGAATCATTCACAAAGAAGTGCATTTTACTTTTCATATTAAATGCATTTTTCATTCACATCAACTTTATTCAAGTAGATTGCACGTTGTAATATTCGTAAACCCTATGTGAACCCGTGAACCACAATAATAAATAAATGTGCATTAACGACGGTTTCGTTAAACATTATTTCCGATCAGTTAGCTATTCCCAAATTGTTTAATGATGCTCAGACTCAATATGGATCTGAACTTTGTGTGCTTTCCTCATAATTTCTATTCAAATGCTAAACAAGCATCGAATTGCCTTAACATTATTCCAGTAAAAATATAATATTGTGCATATACAAATCACCATAAATTTATTAGGTTAAGGAATGTCGATACGATAAGAAAGTAAACGATACGTCTTTGCGAAGTTTTCAGTGAATAATTCCTCGAATCACCTATTCTCATACTGGTTAATCATGTTCTTACCAAAAAGAGTTTTCTAACCTTCACCCTGCTGCATTACACAAACCCTTTTGATAAGTGCTAACTTTCACTTAGTTGTAACAATAAAAATATGAAAAGCATGGTGTATCACAGATGAAAGAAATAAAAATTTGGATCGAAAAAAACGGCTGATTTTCTTCATAGCCAAAAGCACGGTGGATCAATACTGCTCCTCTAGAATATCTGAAACAAAAAATTTTAAAAAAAGATTAGGGAAAAGATTGAGATTATGTTTTTTTATAATTTTTCAGTTATGAGCAATAAAAGATTTCAAACTATCGCTTTACCGCAAGAACATTCGATAAAGTAAATTTAACAAGCCTTGTATTTACAAACCTCTAAGGATATCAATCATAGATAAAAAACGTATAAAACTTCAACTGTCAAAACTGTCAATTATCACAAAATAAAATACCTTTACTATATGCACATGGATAATGATAAAATAAATTTTTGATTACAATTGTCGCACCTTCTTTGGAACAGATCGCGCAATGCTAAAAAAATTAGACATAATCGAGGAAAATTTAATGAATCAAAAAGAATCTACACAATAAACAGCAAACGAAATTTTTTTCATCGAAAATAAAGTTTGAAGACAAATTTTATTCACATGGAATTCACTAACAAGAATAACTGCATAAAAACATGTCTCGCGCTTTTGTATGTAATTTGCAAAATAACGCAAAGTTTAATATTTGACTTAATTTTTGTAATTTGCAATCGATCTTTGATTTTGGGAATTTTGTAAAAGTGTACCTCGCATATTAATTGAACTTATGTTTAGAACAAAATAAAAAAAGGACTCCTATAAAGATTTTTTTTCTATTTTCTATTTTTTTAAAATTTTTCTATGTGAATAAAGAAAAATTTAAAAACATCATCGAAACTCCATATATATATATATATATATAGATATTCTGCATTTTTGAAAGTACATGCAAATGCAAATAAATATGAATATGTTGAAACTTTATGAAACTTTTGCTAAATACTTTAAAAACTTCCATTTAGTCCCAAACACAAAATTCTTCTCAGTGAAAAGAGACGCGAATATATTAATAATTATCCTTATATGAATGCTTCAGAGATATATTTTATTTTTACTGATAGTAACCAAAAATTCTATTCAAAATTCGCCATTTGTGGCTCATTAATATTTTCACTGAAGCAAAATTAATTTTAAAGAGGTAGCAAGCGCGAAGCGCCATTTTAACCAGAGTACGGAAAAAAATTTGGGGATTTCTAAAGATTAATAACTTAACTTATTTCATTTTCTGACTATAAACTGAAACGATTTATCCAGAGAAATTCGATTCCGCAAAAAGCGATAAACTAACTTGCGACCAATATCGACTAATATTTTGTTCAAGGGCTGGAAACTGGTTTCCAAACATTTGTAATTCTTCGGTATAAAGGGCGCACATACCATGCAACCATAAATCGAGCAAATACGTGTTCTTCATACAAATAAAATATCTTTATTTAAAAAATTTGCTGATCTTATTGAAACAATTCAAATTGAAAATGAACGATACAGAAATAAAGCAAATATATGAAACAACCAATAACCTTTGTACTGAATTTTCCCGGTTTCTTCGCGATAAAATTTGGCCAAGTTTTACCCGATATTTTAACATAATATGGTCCAAAGAGATCACCTAGAACAGAACGCAATGTCCTTTGTTGACATAAAGCACATTTCCACTTGGTTGTAACACAATCTTTCCTAATTTCTGGCTAAAAAACGTGTATATATGTGCACTATTGAAATGTTTAAAACACAGAACATGATCACGATGGGAATGAATGAAAAATCATTATCATTCAAAAATGGAAATGAAAGCTATGGAAGTCAAAATTTTTCTGATCCAATAAGCTAAAGAAACGAATTTAACTAGAAATGGTCAGCTCTCTTTAAAAAAATCTATTATTTTACTATTTTAGTTTAATAATTAAGTAAACTATCTCTAATTTAACGCATGTTTCTATGAGAAATATGGAATATGGAAAACTCAAAATAGAACAAATCCAGACACTATGTTTATTAAAGTAAAATTTTTCTCGGGTTTCTGCTGCAGATACGTTGGATGATGATGAATCTGGAATTACCTGGCTTAATTTGTTCATCGAGGATTCCCTTGCCTTCTTAATAATAGTATCGTGCCTTTCACCATTATAAACGAAATATTTTCCGTCTGCAAGATAAATCCGACTTAATCACGGCAATAACTATTGCAAGCATCCAGTAATCACCTACTAGCATAGATAGTCCACTGATCTAGCCGCTCCGATCCCATGATTCTAATATCTAACTGGCAAAAATTTCTAATCGCACCAACAACCAGCGAAGCTAACCGAAAACGGTGAGTTACTTAATTATAAAAACCATCATAACCAGGCATCCTAACGCATCCGAACTTCACCCAATAGTTGGCTGAAGCCCGAAATCCAAATTTTGCCACTTCTCACAGTTTCATCGCAAGTACAAACAATAATAATAATGTTTATTTATAATAAAAATACTTTCATCAAGCCGCAAACAAGCACTCCGTTCCACCTTTCGGCGATTAATATTATTGCTAAATTTTTCTCGGAGATGTTGCCTTAATCGTTCGTCTTCACTATCGTCTGTAATGAGTCTTCGCTTTCTAACAACTTTTTTCGCATTTCTACGAACTTTGCCCATTTTTTAAAATTTTTTTTGTGCTGCAACTGAACTAAATTATTATTTTCATCTTGAAAATTTCTTTCAAAAGCTAATATAACTTTACAAGAGAAATTTTTAGAACATAATGGATAAAGCCATTCCAAATTTCATAAAACTATTCACTCAGAAAATCCTTTTATTTCTCTTCTTAACTTTGGTTATTGACAGAGAAAATCATATTAGCACCTTTTTTTCTAATAATTCCACATAAACGAAAAACTGTGAAAAAAACGAGAAAACGAGATTCCTAACAAAAACGCTCAACCGACTCATTCGCTATAGCAAACTTAGTTCGGTTTTGTGTAGAAATTACCAAAAAACATTTTCATGACTAAACTGTAACAATTAAATTACGAGATGGCTTCGAACTGTTTCATAGAAAGAAATAAAACGATGAAAAATGAAAGCTATAATTGCACGTAGCAACCCACGATTAATAAGCCTTAGACTTATATTGGCGATATAAGAAAAAATAATAAAAAACTTGGACATTCTCTACAAGTTAATTAGTGAAATACTGCTGGCAATACGAAATCACTTACGGCTGTTTCTCTTATTTCTTCTAGTAAACAATAGCGTTAAAATGCACGAATGCGGATAAACCTTTTACAAACGATTTATGATGATTTCTAATCATTTCCAATTTACTTTTATATTTCCGAATATCTTCACAAAACAACGTACAGTAAAGCAACTGCGCATAAAAGAAACGTATTCAATGAAACGTTAACTCCTAATGATTCATTTTCCCAGATAACTTATAAGCGATTTGCAGACCATGTTTCCCTGGATATTATGCCATATCTTTTTCTTTAATTCATCTTTTTATTTAGATCATATTTTTTCCCAGGAGACTGTTCCTCACTATTTGTTTAGAGACCAATTATTGTTAACTAATATAACAAAAACCACAGAATGTTTATAAGGTATTTACGAAAGCAGTGCCTATAAAATAATTAGGCAACAAAATATTTCACTTTGGAAAGTACTTTTGCTGGATGCACTACTGTATTAAACAAAAAGAAAAAAAAAAGTATATACAATTCAAAACAATATTTACCAGAAAATAAATATTAAAGAATTTTTTTATAAATTACAAATTAAAAAAGAAATAAAAAATAGCCAAAAACATAAATATATAAAATAAATATATAAAAAATAAAATAGAAGCAGAAAAGAATGAATTGAGCATTTCTATCATAAAAAAATAAATTCCTGAAATTGATAAAATAACACAGTGAAATTACCTCCAGTAAGAATAAACTGCCAAAGATCATACTGCCAGCAATCCCATTTTAAATTTTATTCATAAATGAAAATAAATTAACTGAAGGCAAAATGAGAAGATAAAAAAATATAAGAATTCCCGGCAGTTTATGAAATAAATAGTGAAATAATCCTCAAAACACAGGCACAAAAAAAATCATAACAATTCGAAAAAAACGTTCAAGCGACAAAATTAATCGAGAAAAGAGGCAATCGAACTGGTTTTTCAATAAATCAGAAAAAGTTTTCTGGAAAAAACTTCTAATGAGAGGAATAAATCTGTAGTGTCATAATAGAATAATAGTTTAATTTTGCAAGAAAAAAAGTTTTGCTAACACATTTGAATTTCTTTTCCACTTCTCAAAAACCCTACAATTCCAATAATTTCTAAATAGCAAAAAATTAAAAATTTAAAAAAGTTATAGAAAAATGAAAATTCCATTTGATGGGGAAACATACGACTATATATCAAAAAAAATGAACTGACATTAAGACTAACATTAAGACAAGACTAATAGCGAACGTTATAAAGAATGTAAAAAGTAAGAACTACTATTCAATATTTTCATAGTTTTATACTCATTTTTTAGGCAGTTGAAAAATCAGATCGTTTTCTGTGTGAATATTCTCAGAAATAAATTCAGCAAACGGTTCGCACAAATATAATTGCTTATAATACTAAGAAAATTAGTGATTTTTCGCAAAAAACCTTGGAGTTGTAAACGATTTCGTTGAAGGAGGCATTACCGAATCAATAATTAAACCTGAAATTGTGGGAAACAAACAAGTAAACATAAACAAGTACTTTAATGAATAAAATAACAAAAAACAAATCTTTAAATTATAAAATCAACTAACGCTCATTCTGTTCCGACCCGCAATGCATTCCCTTCCCTCGACCCAAACTCCTCGGTCTTTCCAGTTCCCATCTGTCACCAGCATTTAGCCGCTCTGATTCCCAATAACCTCGTAATTCTTCCATGTTTCGGACCATTCGCTTGGAACCTCTAGCTGAACCTCTATTTTTCTAAAAAATGAAATAACAGAAATATTTGCGATTATGAATGAAAATTGGCTATCTTCTAATTAAATTAATACTTCTTGCAGCGACTTTTTTCGCCCAACCATATTTAAGCTGTAATTCGATGCAACTGCATTGATTGTTTCGTCAATACTACTTAATTTCTGATCACAATCTGCGGATTCAATATTCATATTTGAAGCATTGCATTCAGTTTTTACACTGGAATATTAACTAATACTTTTTCCAAATATCAATCGTCACCAAATCATTAATCAAAAGAAAATCTTGTTTAAATGCAACAAATTATTCATTTTCCTTCTATATATAAATGGACAAATCTAGAGTTTATAAAATGAATGGAATTTACTTTACTTACACAGTTCTTTCTCTGCAAGTATTAAATAATTCGAAAGCATCATCATCTTGAGTTACGGTTACGGTTGACTGCGTTTGCGAATCAAATGAATCATTAGTGACGAATGAACTGCAACTACCTGCTGTATTATGAGAAGCTACAACTGATGAATCAACATTAGGTGGCTCCGAACATGGTCGCTGAAAATATTTTTTTCGTCCAACCATACTCAGATTGCTGTTCCATGCAACAGCACTGACTGTTTCGTCAAGAATTTTCAAATCAAAAAATTAAGCATTTAAAACATATTTGATAAACTGTACTGCAATTCAAAAATCTCGTTAATCCTAAACGAACCTTCTCATCAGTAGAATGCGGAGTATCTGTATGACGAGATGCTGGTGATCCAGGTAGAGCACCACACCGACTAGCACGTAAACTATCAATATTTCCATCTTTCATGTCATTTTCTTTCAAATCATGGCAAGTTATTAAATGTCGTTTCATATTACCCTGCAACACACGTTAAGGATAAAAAAAGAAGAAAAACTGATAAAAAACAATAAAGATGATAAGCACATTACAAAATAAAAGTTTGAGGCTTTAATAGTCGATATAGAGAAGAAAGAAAGAAAGCAATGAAAAAGCAAATGAAAAGTGATCAAATCTCAATTAGATCTTCTAAAAGGAGGGAACATGAGAGAAGTTTGCAAATGGACTGTGAAAGAACTAACTGATCGTATTGTCAACAACAGCGATAAAATACCTTATAAATTGTGGCGAAACGACAGAGTGAACAAATGTATGGATCAGGTTTTTTGATAAGAGGCTCAAGTGACGGTGTTGAGGTACAAGATCGCTCAGAATTGTTAAGCCAACTCTTTTCTTCAAGTGTGTGAGATGAAAAACCGGAAAGCGCTACATTAGGCTGATAACTATCACAAAGCGCATCCGAATTGTTGCCAGATGTTACATATTGTGCGTTATTCACATAATCAAGTGAGGATTGAAATGATGTTGCAGAAAGATCTATAAGAATTCAGTATTTCGAAAATTTCTAAAACTGATTTCATTTAAAACAAAAAAAGAATATTACTATTACACCACTAATTTTTACAGGATATCGGCTAATCTAGCAAATACATAAGAAATTTAAATTTGGCAAAAAACTGACAATAGGAAATGTGTTGCAACATATTCAGCAAGAAGTAGACAATGAGATAGTGGTTCCTAATTATATCTTACATTTTTATAAAATGATGTTTATAACAAGATGTTTTTTCATTTCATTTTTACAAACTTTACAAGCCTCCAACTCATGAAAATAATCGGATAATTAGAGAATAAAGTGAGAATAAGGAGAGAATGCTTACATGCATCCACTACTAACCCAATTCCTTTCGTAACAAAACCATCCACTTTACCATTCCGTCACTCTGTACCATTATAATGTAATATTATTATAATAATATTATAATATTCTCACAATAAATATATGGGAAATCCAGCAACACTACTGATAAATTTTAATATTTCAGTTTGCTCTTTTCTAGTAAGCCTTTCATAAAAATCACAATTCAAAATCAGACTATGCTCACTTTGCTTTCAAATGCTAGAATTCACTTCAAAAAAGTCAGCATTAATCAAGAATCAGTGATTGTAATGACATGTCTATATATCGAAGACTGCAAGAAAAATAATTTCACTAAAAGAAGAATCTCTTTATCGGCATGACAAATAAGGAATGATCGCGCATGACCTAGAGAAAATACTATCAATCAACCGATTATTGATAAAAGGGCAAAGATGTGGCGTCAGAAACGGTAGTCGTGCACTCGATATGTATATTAAATAAAAGTAAATAAACATTTCAAACATCTCATAAGTCAAATTTTTGGTTGTACGATGCAAAGAATTTGTTATGGAGAGCTTAAGTAATCTTATCAAGCTGATACCAAGCTTCCAATATGAAAAATTATAAAAATATAAAAATTCAGGAAAAAAATGATTCCATCATTGATAAAGCTGGTGGAAAAAGAAATGAATGAACTGACTATAAAATAATAACCTAATAAATGCATGAAGACCCTTTCAAACTTTATCCATAACAAGCTAAAGAAGATAGAAAATAAAAATCGTCGAAACAGACAAAATGAATTATAACTACCTTTTTTTTTCGCAGATTTAACCATATATTTTTTAGGCCTGTTTGAACGACCACAAGTTTTCATATGCCGTTGCATATTTCCCTGCAAATAATGCATAAAAACATTCAATTCCGAGAAACAGTGATTTACTTCTTTTTATTTTTTCACACCATAGATAGGACTTGATTGTTTCAGAAAATAAAAAATCAGAAAAAACATAGTGAAGTAAGTAAAATTAGATAAATAGAAGAAAAATTGTAAGAATATTTTCTCACAAAAAAACTGCTACAATCTCAGATAAACATACCTTATAATTGCTTATGTATTTTTCACATCTTGGACAAACTGGATTCATACTCTCACCGGTGGAACTGGAGCTGTAGGAACCAGGTAACAAATTCGAGCCTTTCGCTTTTGCAAATTGTTTGTGATCTAAACAAAAAATTAGAATTTAAAAACAATCAATCGATGCACAACGAAACATATAACCAATAAATTTTTTATTCCAAAGACCTCAACCCCAACATTTGTCATATTCATCAACATCCATATCCCACAGACCATTAGACTAGCAAATGCTATTAAAAACAAAACCTCTTAATCCAATGCAATTCAGTCATAACGCAATTTAAAAAAAATTTCCATTATTCAATTTACCAACAGTATAATTTCTATAATTAAATCCGGAAAAAAATTGTTCCATTGAAATACCTAAAATACTTAACATTGAATTATAATTAAATATACTGAAAAACACACTTGTGTCACCGTTAAACCTCTGAGGTGCACTGCATGATATTATACTGGCACTATCGGTGTTGTTGGATGTTGATGGGTACTGCTCGTCCATAACAAATGGCCGCTGTTGAGAAGTGTTTTCAGGCACCAAAGAATCACTATTTGATAATATTACACCATTGGGATAAACATCATCACATCTTAAAGATTTTCACAAGAAAATTATTCGAATTATCCGAACGATTCCATTAATCTTCATATTCATTATTCAGTAAAATAATATAATATCTGAACAAACATCGATGATGACTTTTCCCTTTATTCTTCGAACTTTAATAAAAAATAAAATGCTGAAAAAAACGTATTTTACCTGCCATGAGCATATATTTCTCGCTGCTGCCCATAAAAATGTTGAAACTGGTCTGACTGCAATTGAAATTATCAAAACGCAAAATTAATACAGTGAAAAATTTTTTTTTTTTTGATTCTATACCAACATTGAAGGGCAAACACTGAAGGTGAGATTGAGGATTACCACTATCGCTGCCATACAATTTTTTAATTTCTTTCTTTCAAAGTGTATAATCGATTTAAATAATTATATAATAAGATTATAACGGTATTTAAAAAATTTCTTTGCTTAATATCTAGTTTTAATCGAAAAACCAATTTCGTATACCAATTTGATTGCGCCATTCACAAATGATTTGTTATTAAGTGAAAACTTTTTTAGATTTAGAATTAAAAACGAACCGAATTATTTACATAATTGATATCAACATGGGTATTTAAACCACTCACATTCGCCATCCGATAATCCCACTGAGTTGCTGATAAGCCATCATCATTTGATAAAATAGCAAATGTTGATGAAAATAATGCCGAAGTATCTGAAACAAATGAATTTTCTTTTTTTTTTAACGAATAATTATATATTTTTCTTGTCCTTCACTTCCTTATTAAGAATTTTCCAAATATTGCCAATGATTAAGAATAATGCTTATAATAATGCTTATAATGAAATCTTCTTTTACAAACGGTATCCACCAATTCAGGTTCGACTAACTTCACTGGCTATTAGGATGACCCAATTACCAGATTCAATTGGCGAATTAAAACCGAATCCCCAGTATTATCCATATTTTACTTCCTGTGACAAATTTGCCCCTGTCAACGAACAGAAATCGAGTCGACGTGAACTTTCAGTTTCTATTCTTCTTTAACTGAACGAATTAAAATAAAATTTCTTTAATGACGAATACCATTTAATTCATTTGAATGAAGATTTGAAGTGGCGATCAATTGATTCGGTGCAGGCTGATACTGATGCATTGCAAAAAACTAAAATTATAAAAAATTTGCATGAAATAATTATGGTAATTTTTTACATTTTTTTTAATGGAAATTTTCGTTTAAAAAATTTATCGAAGTTTTATATATTTTGCCAGCAACAGAATCTATATAGTAATTTGCAATGTCAATGTGTCTGGGAAAAAATTCATGTTTCCGCCATAAATTTGCTAAATTCTTTTAAAGTTCTTTCAATTACTGTTAAGAAGAGCCTCGACTTCCATGATGTGGTTGTCCCTTTCTCGCCCACTCTCTGAGTAGCATTTCGTCGCGACTAATAAGTAATTTATGGTGGAATCCTTTCCTTTTAGATCTCTTGTAATCTTTTAAACTTTTTGAACTCGGCCTTATCTCCTCGGGAGTTTTATACCCTCTTGATGCTTCATCAAACCTCGCTGCATTCTTCTGCTATAACACAAAAAAATTTCCTTATATGATCTTAATCTAACAGATATCAACGCATTCTCTTGTTAGAAAAATTCACTGAGAACGAGTTATAACTGCACATCTCTAAGATTTCTTGAATCCTCTTAAGTTTTTTTCAGAGCGCACCGCGTTCTTCATTAAAACCAGATACTCTTCATATCATTTTCGTGCAACGGGCTCTTATAAATCACTCCGCCATGATACCCTAGCATACTGTGGTGCTAAAATTATGCTGCACCTTTTTCTTAACTAATTAATGCTATTTATTAAATATCTATATTGCACATAAAATTCCGATACGTGGTGTTGAAATCCTCGGCTATCTCAATACCCCAAAAAATCTGCACCAACTGAAAAACATTAGTCGGTCGGTTAGATATTATATCCTAATTTTTTCCATAATGAGTAAGATCTTTACAACATTATATAACATCAATCCACTTGAAATTAAATACATTCACCAAATTCTTTCCTGGCCACAAAAAAGTCAAAAAAGTTTATAAGTTCATTGCAAATAGTGGCTAAAAGCTTTCTACAAATCATAACAAATATATATATATTAGTTGCCTCAAAAATTTATACGATTTAAAAAAATCTTGAAAACCAGCAATACTAAAAAGTTTCGAAATTACTGTTTTGAATGATTCTTCTCAGATTTTAATCATTAAATCGAAAAATTAACCGCTTCGACTTATCTCCATCTTCCTATTTTCAGAATTATACTTAATTGTAGCACCAAATCTGTGGAAAACAGACCATTATTCTTATATATAAAAAGGTGATAAGAAATGACTACATAATTTAAGATTAATTAGTGCAATCTTTATCTCCCATAGGATCTTTGAAAGATTAGTTCGTCGTTCGATCCCAATATTTGAACAATAATTAATAAATTCATTTCGGCACTGTTCTGTTCAAAAAAAAACACAGTTATTGCCCTAAATTTACGTTGTACAGAGCGTTGAACTAATAATGATTAATAAAATAGCAGCGAAGTTTACCACTGAACCGTAATAGCGAAGTTTATAAAAAAAACTAACAGAATTCTTAACGTTATCATTAACTGATGCATAAGCTGATGTTGATTTTGAAACATTTAAGAGATTTCTCCTCATCCTACGTTAAAACCTATCATTGCTAACGTAGGTTTAAAAACAGTTGCAGATAAATGCACGATTAAGAGATTTTACTTATAATAAAGAACAAATTTGCTGTATAAATTTTCTACTGAATTAGTTTTGCATGGAAGCTGTGGCAGAAGTCAAGATAAAAAGAAAAAATTTCTGGTCTGGGAATATGCCCAGCCAATATGTTTTTGCCTTATTTCTTGATGATCATTGCCTTATTTTATTGTGCCAAATTACTATGCTTCAAATATACAATTATTAAGAGTTCAACTTTTATATGTGTTCATATGTATAACCTTAAAAATAGAAATATATAGGAAAGTAAATTTTCTGAAAGTGTTCACAGCTTTTTTGCTCGGAAAGTCTAATATTAGTGGACTGTTCTATGGTGACAGATTATCAGCTGTAAAAACTTTGAAATCCAGAAAACTTGAATCAACTTTATTTAGACTTATAGACTTATTGATGCTGATCCTGAAATATTTTTTGATCCTTGATTGAATTAGATTAGAACTTGAACTCCGAAAAACAGCAATAAATATAAATTTTGCTTCGGAAAGGTTTAGGATAAGCTTTTCAATGAAGCTTTTTACGCCGAAAACAAAAATTAATTTTGTTTGAATCACTAGCAAAAATTTTTAGAAACCATTGATGAAAACTTTTACCAAAAATTCGTTATTATTATTCATAATATGTTAATAATATATTATTATTCATTATTAGAATTTTAAAGTCATCTGAATATTACGACTATTGACATCAAATAAAAAAAAAACTAACAGAATTCTTAACGTTATCATTAATAGATGCATGAGCTGATGTTGAATGAATAGTCTGTTGAGCAACAGACATCGCAGTTGACGGATTATGATGATGCTGCGGTATAACCATCGATATTAAGGCATTATGAATAGAAGAATCATCGCACTGTTGCTGTTCATTACTTACTGCAACACTCGTATTCGCCGACTGTATGGTATTTGTTGTAGTTCTTTGTGAATAAGGCGCATAAGTTGGAACATTCACCCCTACTGTTGCTGCTGCCGCAGTTAGTGCCACTGTTAGTGTTGCAGGTAACGTAGAATTATTAACCAGTCGTGAAGTCGATGTTTCATGAAAAATACCAGATGTTGTTGATTGATGATTAACAGTGTTCTCTGTTGTTGTTATAATATAACCATTTTGTGAGTCGTTTCGATTTTCATGATCTTTTGGTGATAAAAGATTACTTGAATTATTCGTTGTTAGTAAATGCCTTAATATCATTACTTCCTTTCGCAAACATTTAACTGATGCAAATCCTTAACGAAAAAGCACCTGAAAAATCTATTTTAAAAAATTCAACAATATGAAATTACTAAACAAAAAAAGAAAATTACTGGAAAATCGAAATATATTTTCCATAAATGAACCAGTCGGCTGAATGCAAACGACATAGGTTCGATTCTTGCCTTTAGCCGCGAATAAACTTTTCATTAAAACTCATCGCCAGAAGTATGTACCAACATATAGTTTCTAAGCTAAATAATTAAAATAAAAATTATAAATATTCAATTTTGCTAAACAACGGCTAATTTTCTAAACAATTTAATCACTAAATATCATATAATTTAAAGTGGAAATCCTTATTTGTTTCGTTCTTCACCGTATTATAACAAAATACGAAATTTTCGGGAAAAAAACTCCACTACAAAGCGATGTGCGAGATCTTTACAAATAAACTAAATATCATATTCGATGACCTTGAACATTTGCGATTCAGCGAGGCGTTAGGCATTTCTGTACACCTTTAAACCAAATAAATCCTTTAAGCCAAATAAATGACCATCGATTCAAATGGTTGCCTTTAGCTAAAATGAATAAATACCAATCTCAACCATTCTCAATTCTTCGATTCAAATGGTTGCCTTTAGCTAAAATGAATAAATACCAATCTCAACCATTCTCAATTCTTCTAATAGCACCATTTCTGCACCATTTCTGGTTTGGTTGCATTAAACTGGAATAATGCCTTTTCACCGGAGAGTCATTTCATAGAGGACAGAGATTCAGATAGGTTCCCAGTGGCCATTTGCCTAGATTGTTATCATTTATCTTCCCAATTATCACGATAAAGTCGACTTTTTCATCAATTTCAAGCAATAAAAAAACATTTCTCAAAGAAAATTCAGCTTTCTTCAAAGTTTTTTAAACGATTATTTATTGCCTTTAGTGCCTCGCTGAATTAACTTACTTCAAATCACATAGATTATTTCAAAGCACCACGTTGCATAAAGCTGCGTAAAAAGCTAAAAATAACGGTCTAATTTAGGAATTTTGTATGACAATGGGCCTAATTTGGCCAACGAAAACAATTTAATGACCTATTCAAGCAAAGCAATATGATGAAAACAATACAAAACCTAGGCTCGGAAAATCCAATAAAGGCATAGACGCTTCGAATTATTTATTTGTTACCAATTCAGGGTGCTGCGAGGAATTTAATAATGGCCTATTTGAGCAATGCAAAGAATTTAACCTGCTGAAATACTACGAAAGTTCGATAACGGATTTAATATAAACATTTCGAATAATTTGCCAAATACTGAAAAAAAAAAAATGCCATATTAGGAGAAATTGCATTTCCCAGCAATATGCTTTACTGATAAGCAATTTGCTGTCCACAGTCTCCCATACCTCATCGCTTATTCCCATCCCCCATCCCTCGTTTCTTAGTTTTTGTCCAATCTCCATTGTTAATTGTAGCAACTTGCCAGTAGTTCCCCATTCTCCAAACTCTCTCCTCCTAGCACAACCCCTAATTCCCTTCCAACCCACGCAAAATAGCCGACTATACGCGCAATGAAATTATTGAATGAGAGGGGACCAACCGCAACGCGTTTTCTTCGAGAGACGCGACGCACATCAAATAGAACAAACGAATAAATTTTGTTGCACCAAGCAGTTATTTTGCGGAGATGATATAGCGTAAAGGAAATAGCGAAGACAGGTGGGGTCAAAGGTTAAAGCAAATAGGAGTTAGTATTTGGTTGATTAAAGGTTGATATGAGTAGAAGAGCGGTGCTTGGTGCATAAAGGTGCAATATTGGCACTCGGTGATAGAAACGCAAATACGAGTGAAACATTTAAGCCTGGTTAAAGGCGGTTACAACACTAACGCTTCCCAACAGTTTGTTTCAAATCTAATAAGAATTTCATGAAAAACGAGGAAAAATTTTGTAATAAATTGTACTGCTCCAATTTTTTTTGTTTTGCCTTAGGTGATAGATAAATTTACCAGTGAAAAGTAATTATGCTGTTACAGTTATTCACCATTTCTGGTTCGGCTCGCATCAAAAATTAACTGTTTTGGAGAGTCACCTAAGGACAAAATTATTGGTGCAAATTATTGGAGTACCATTCTTATTTCATTTTGTTTGCATCAAAGATCATTGATTTCTTTTTTTTTTTAACAATGGAGTTATTTGCATTTTCCAAATTTTTTTTTCTCTTTTCGATAAAAAAACATTGATTTATTTAATATTAACTCAAAAATATAACCGTTTATCACCTTCTTTTTTAAAATTTAACTAGGAAACATTTCGAAAAAATTTTAAAAATTGTCGAAAATCTTTAAACAATTCTTTTTGTCAATTAAACAAAATAATAAAAGAGATGGTTTTTAACTTTATTTTACTTTACAAAATATATTTCATAAGAAGAAATACACAAATCTGATGTTCATTCATAAACTATTTTGCGGAAGCTTAGGCTGCCGGCCAGTGAAAAACACTGAAAACCGAAAAAAGCCTAAGGCGAAGACAAAGCAAATACTTGCTCATTCGAAAGGTACTGTAATAAGTGAAGGTGGAAACAAGTTTATCTACAGCTGCACTTAGGAATAATCTGGCAATGAGTCGCCTTTAACCGATCAGGTAAATTATAATGCTCGAAGAGTATCACAATAATATTAATATAAAAAGCAAACACTGAGTTCATCCGTAAGCGATTGTTTAGAAAGGCCCAAATCTGGCATGCATGCCATCGTATCTGAGCCATACATCTAAATACACTTTACAGGCTATCGATGGTATTGGCAATTATGGTTGTGGAATAATTTATAAGACGTTATTAAATTAAATACTATTCTATTATTGACCATCCTAGTTTAGCATTTTAGTACTTTTCATTTGCCTTAGTCAATTCTATTATAAAAATATTAGCGTGAAATGACGTTGAATATCCGGTTTTCTGCCAAAATTTCCACTTGAACTAATTCTCCCTTCCTGCTTCTTTTCATCAAGTACATCAAAAAATAAATCATAAATTAGTCGTATGTTTACTATTCACAATTAACGGATTTTTGACAGAAACCATTGAAGTGCACCCAACGTTTGAGATTTTTTGAGATTTTGAACGATAACTGCATATGGACGCATACGAAGATTGTTGCTATTGTTTAGTTTATCGAAGTTTTCAATTTTAGAATCGTAAATGATTGAATCTTCTAATAGCACTGACCATATTTGATTTGGCAAGCGCAAGTGAATCAGTTGGGGATAGAAGCATAAATGGATGCTCATAGCATTATCCCAGCTTCACTTTTAATGACTTTAAAGTTTATTCCCACCAAGGAACACGAGTAGAACTCTTGTTGCTTGACCTTAGTCGAAATTAGGTATCACTCGGAAGAGATATATACATCTAAAACTGTTGAAAATGATTATCAGTTACTGATATCTTGCAAAAATGTTTTAAACTTGTTTTAACGACATAAATGATTTTATAATTGATAATAGGCTCTCAACGAGCCTATCACAGACTGCTATTATCGAGCCGAAGATTTCTCTCCAGAAACCTTCAGCATCATGATATTTATCAAGAAACCATAGCCATGGCCTTAAGTTAACCATGAAGTTCTGGAATATCTCAAAAGAGTATTATGTTACAATCACAGCTGAGTTATTAGCTCAGATTGCTATGAGTGAGTGGGTTCTGTCTCCAGCAAAAATCTTGCGATTAGAAAAATCTCGCATGATGCTGAACTTTTATCGCCAACTGGCTCCATGGAACAAATTTCTAAAAGTAACGAGAGGAGATAGAACTTGAGCGTTAACGGCAAATTAATTTTATAATAATAGTTAATAGTTAACATAATTTTGTAATTGGATATATTTATTTCCCACCTTAAATGATTTGCCGTAAAAGAACTTGAAAATTTTTATGAAGTTCGAAGAACTATAACTATTTATGTAATATTAAGTTGGGATACCTTTTGTAGACTTGATTTTGTAGACTTCTTTTGCACATTTAGAAGAGATCAAAATGATAATTGATGTTGATTTTTTGCGATTTTAAGGTGAAGGATGTTCGATGACTGATTGCGTGCCATGATAATTATAATTATAAACTATATAATTTCAACATATTCAATAGCAGCTGAAAAAATAGTTATACAAAAATTTCTAAACAAGTTATTGAAAAGAAATGTTTTAAAATCAAAAACTGAAGAATTACTGAGTGGCCAAGCCTATTACGCTGTCATACTTGCATAATTGTATATTTATATGAATACATCCTGGCTGAATAATTCCCGTAAACAATTTTATTAATTCTCCATAATTATATAAAGCAAGCAATGGTGAAACATAGACAGCCTTAATATTTGCCATTTTTCACTGGATCCTTGATCTTTTTCCGATTTTTCAGCGCTTTTTTTTCGATCAGGCGTCAAGATGCTATATGACAAGTTCGAATAATACCTTCGGTTTGCATAGTTTCTTTGGCTTGCTTTAAATTCTTCCTCTGATTATTTCATCCTTTCACTATATTATGTTATTATTATCTTATCTTTTGCTTAATTTCACTTTTAAAAAAAGCCTTTTAATTCTTTTTATCGAAATAACGAAGTCTGCATTTTAATAGTTTAACAATAATTTGTAAGCATTTTTTATTTGATTCACTACGAATTTGATGATCATTCACGCAGCTAAACAAATGATAACAAATTTACGAATTTTTTATAAAAATTTATCAAAAAATTTTTGGGTTAGCTGTTGTTTGTATATTTATTATTTATTTAAAGATTCAATCAATGTTTTTAAAACAACTGGTAAAATGCTTTGATGCATTTAATTGTTGGAAAGGGTCTTTAAGATAAGGGTTTTGTTATGAGAAAATGCAATCGTTGTTGACCGCTGCATTAGCGGAGGAAGGCCTTCTGTTATAATCTGACATTAAAGGCTATTAAATTCTTGTAAACTTCAAAAATTAAACATTTTTTAGAA